TTGCAAATGCTCTTTTGCCAGTATAAATTGCATATGCACTAGAAGAATATACTGACAGATCATTTTCTAACATGGACAAGGCCTTGGTTTTCAAAGAGTTTACTCACTACACCAGTAGAAAGTACGGTAGTTCAATTTTATCTTGTTGGAGTGGGACCATAGCTAATACTTATAGGGCAGCATGATGGGGAATCAGGTCACATACAGCACTGCGGACTTTGTGCTACCAATGCAAAAGGAATGGATTCAAAGCTTTAAAAAAAATAAGTAGATAATCCTTGATTTTAGATTTCCAGATTTAGAATATGTGAGAGGGTAAATAGGAAACAAACATCGTCTGACCTATTTGTCTTAGTAGAGTACATTTTATACTGTGCAAGATCAGTAATAATAATAATGCATCTTCCAGAGAAAGGCAAATATTATTATCCTCATTCTACAAATGACGAAACTGCATAGGATAAGAATATTTTGCATAAAAAACAGCTATAATAGTAGGGAACTTAGTAATGAATTAGGGAGAATGGGGTCTGATTCTCTGCTGCCACGCACTATGGAAAGACATTGATTTCTTGTCAAAGAGGGTGTAAAATGCTACCAGTTTGATTTGGTGTTTTACACTGTGTACAGACAGGAGCAAAGGATTATACAAGATACAAGACAGTGAAGAATCAAGTGCAGAGAGTACAGTGTGAATGACCCTGAATCTCATATGCCTTGTCACTTCCTAGGTGACAATTAGAGTCATCGTTGATATTGACATTACTGAAGTAGGCTGGAAATTTCTACAAAGCAGGACAGAGCAATTACGTTTAAGGAAAAAAAACAAGTCAGAGTTCCATTTTCCACTTTGCATGCATCTGCAAAAGTGGTTTTCACACACACAAGTTTATTCCCAAATAAATGTTAGTCTTTAAGGTGCCACAGGACTCCTAGTTGATTTTCCAATTTGCACATTCTTAACTATTTTGAGGAACTTCAGTGTGACAATTGTATACTCGCAGAAAAAAGTAATCAAGGTGCATATGTTATACTGCCCATAATTTCAAAGCAGTGGTCTTTCTCTTCTCCTGTTTCATGCTTATGATTTTCCAAAACTGTACCTTTTCAGTGCAAAGTGCTTTTTCTGCATTTCAGCAAAATCCTTTGAAGGGCTTTTACATATCTCCAAAAACAGACCTTTATCCATAGAAAAAAACCAAAAAACAAATTTACCCACTCTTTAAAAGACACAGTTATGATGAAATAGGCTGAAGTTTGAAACTTCAACTTATTATGGCAATGGAGATCTTTGATCTCTAGTATTTTTGTTTGGCTTGAAAGAAAAATGAGTTTAATAAAAACAACTATTTGAGAGTTGCTTATGAAGTATTTAGTTGTGTCCTTAAAAATAGGGAATTCAGCTGGACTTGATGGTTTAACAAGCTTACAAACTTTTTTGGTAAAAGGAGGTGAGTTGACTGCAGAACAAGTGGATTGACCTCAGAGCAAGAAGTTAACAGATAATTGCATGCTGAATGGCGCCACAATTCTTCCTTGATCCATCATTAAGGTTGCTATGTTACAATCTCAAAAAGTCAAAAAATGGAAGAAAAACTTCTTTTTCTTTGTTTTAAGCCTGCTGCCTATTAATTTCATTTGGTGACTCTCATTTCTTACATTATGTGAACAAGTAAATAACTTTTCCTTATTCACTTTTTCCACACCAGTCATGATTTTATAGATCTCTATCATATCCCTCCTTAGTCTCCTCTTTTCTAAACTGAAAAGTCCCAGTATTTTTAATGTGTCTTCATATGGGACCTATTCCAAACCCCCTAATCATTTTTGTTGCCCTTTTCGGAACCTTTTTCAATGCCAGTATATCTTTTTTGAGATGAGGCGACCACATCTGTACGCAGTGTTCAAGATGTGGATGTACCATGGTTTTATATAGAGGCAATAAGTCTCTGTCTTATTCTCTATCCCTTTTTTAATGATTCCTAACATGCTGTTTGCTTTTTTGACTGCTGCTGCACATTGAGTGGATGTTTTCAGGGAATTATCCACAATGACTCCAAGATCTCTCTCTTGAGTAGTTATAGCTAAATTAGTTCCCATCATATTGTATGTATATTTGAAGATTGATACTTTGGTGCCTGTTTTCAAATAGTGCTTTCTCTTCTTTGCTATTCCTGCACCGTATAAAGACATACTGGGACAGTTGTAATGTGTATTTAATTGAGTTGATATAACAGATTTAGAGGGCACCTGTATGGAGCTGTGGGCGCAATATATTAGTTAAAAAGTACAAATAGAATACAGACAGCAAAAGTGAACAGATTAACCAAGGCCAATTCAAACCAAAAAGTCACCTAATGTTCTCATGTTCCTTCACTAATGATCCCAGTGGCCTCATATACTATGAACAGATGAGTAACCAAATAGATCCCTGTGGAACCCTACAAGAGAGTGTTTGCAACAGAACACGTGCTCTCTGGAATAACACACAAAAAGGATCAGTGCTATTCAAGCTACTCCAGCTGCTCCTTAAGGGGTCATGAACCTGTCAGCTGTACCTTACAAAGTTTGCCAACACATCCAAAAGAATCAGCAGGGAAATTTAATCTTCTGTCATTTGGAGGAGATCATTAGTCAACTCACCCTGTATAACTTATATCACATACATGGACCTAAAGCCTGACTCAAGAAATCCAAGGCTCCAAAAATGGTCACAGTTCTACTACTATAACCTTCTCCATGTCATTTCCCCAAATGGGAAATAAATACAGGTCAGTGACTGGGAAGACTGTCAGTATTCAAGTGGCTTTCTTCAGATGCCACCCTTCATGTGCTCAGCTACTCAAGAGATTAGTGGACCATGAAAAAGCCCCCTGTTTCTTCCTGCCACTTGAACAAATTAGATACACAATTTTAAGTAATTTTAAAGTTTTTTTTTCTGATTTGTGCACTGTATGCTCTCACTATGAAAAATGGTTTCCCATACAAAAAGGAAGAAAAATGTAAACACCTGCACAATCTTGAGTATCATTTAAAAACCGTGTTAAACTTAACTAGAGTGTTCCTTTTGGATCCCTCCTTCCATCTGTATTGGACCCAGCTGCTTCTGCACTTTCAAGAGGGCTATTGTATGTGGCTAACTTTGGGTCACGTCCTATGCTCTGCTGTTTCTGGTACATGATTTTAGTGCATGCAGCTTTGTTACTGAAATATAATTTAAGACATTTCTGAAAATATTTGTGTGTTTTTTAAAATTAGGTTTAATTATTAATATGTAAATGAGCCAGTCCTACAATAAGAATATCCAGGTTCACAAGGCATATAGCGCTCTTCCATATATGAAAGGATCAGGATCATTTTCTCCAATTAGATTTTCACAGATTTTAAGGCCAGAAGAGGGATCATTAGAACATCTAGTCTGATCTCCTACATAGTACAGGCTATAGAACTTGATCCAGTTATGCCTGTATTGAGCCCAATCACTTGCATATGACTAAGGCATATATTCCACTGGTGAGGCTACATTTGAGAAATGGAGTTGTTCACTTTGGGGATTTGTGCACACACATACGCATTGCATATGTGCAGCCCTCACCTGTGTGCAAACATAGTGCACTTGTACACATGGGAGCTGGGTCTTCACACTTGAAAATGTTAGCTATGGTCCTTTCTATTCTCTCAAATGCTGCAGTTAACCTTATTAAATTTTATCTACATTTTTTATTAAGGTGTGAGTAGAAGAAATAAATACTAACCTCTATGATATTGTTGGGTTTTTTTTATTTCTTTGCCTTTTTATTAATGATTACTTTTTAAATACTCTTGAAACCCACATTTTGGACTCACAGCTTACATAGCTTGTCTGAACATACACATCCTGAATGTTTAATAAATTTTTAAAAGTGAGGTATTTGTAAAGGCATAAAATGTAGAACTTAATAAATGTAAGGATGAACGTGTCTTTTCCATCCTGTAGTTCATATTACCTTGTCAGCAGCACTTCTGGATTTCTGTTGAGTCTTCATCTCCTCCCTTTTCCAAGAGTTGGCTATGGTTGTGGCTCAATACCATTGTGATAGCCATTAAATTGAAAACTATAGAGGTGGGCTATAATGCTTTTTCTGGCACATTTCTACATATGAATTTAGTGTCACATTAATTATTTGATGATACCTTTTTTATCTTAGAAGCACTTTTACTTCTTGGCTGTGTCTACACTGGCATGAATTTCCGGAACTGCTTAAAACGGAATACTATTCCGTTTTCAGTTTTTCCGGAAAAGGAGCGTCTACATTGGCAGGATGCTTTTCCGGAAAAGCCCCTTTTC